ATGGGAAGCTTTAGCGGACCTTCACTCTCATCCCACTTATCTGCTGCAGTGTCCGCAGCAGCTGCTGCGTCTGCAACTGCAGCAGCAACTCCTTGCGGAGGGCCCCTGGGGGGAGCCCATGAGGTTTGCTGCAGGCAAGGAAGCGCCGAGGCAAGGAAGCGCCGAGGACCCTCACGGCGGCGCTGCGGTGGGTCCAGAAGCCGCTGCCTTTGTCTCCCTGCTGCAGCTGCTGTATACCCGTTGTATACCCGTGGGGGAGCTGCTGCACTTGGAATCCAGAAGCACCAGCAGCAGCAGCAACACGGCTTCTCTGCCGACGCTTCAGACGTATGTGAAAGAAGCGACGAGGCTGCAGAGTCCCATTTTCCACTTGTAAATCAGCAACAGCAACAGCAGCAAGAGCAGCAACAGCAACAGCAACTACAACCGCAACTGCAGCAGCAGCAGCAGGTGCGGGGTTGGCTGCCGCTTTCAGACGCAGCAACTCTCCCCACTGAGGCTGGCAGCAGCGCAGCCACGCTACAGGAGCTGCTGAACCCCGCAGCGTTGCTAGAAGGGTCCCTTGAGGCTCTTCATGGGCCCCTTGCTGCTCAGCTTGCTGCTGTTCTCGACAGTAGCATAAACAGCACCAGCACCAGCACCAGCAGCTGCGGCATCACAGCGTTCAAAATAGGCTTGCTGCTAGAACAAGCAGCAGCGGCTACTGAGCAAGCAATCGCTGCTGCCGTTCAGAACTCTCCTGAAAAGCGTCTTGAGAGAGAGCAGCATCAGCAGCAGCAGCAGCAACAGCGGCAGCCGCTGCTGGTGCGTTTCTTGTTGGATCTTTCAACGAGGGTGCTGGACAGGCTCGAGACCCAGTGGGACTCCTCGGCGCTGCTGCTGCCGCTGCCGCAGCTATCCGCAGCAGCAACAGCAGAATGGGCCCCCGCCGCTGAAGAGGGGGCTGCAGCAGTTTGCCTCCGTTTCTGACGGCTTTTGCCTCGCGCCTGCAAGACCTGCTGTTAGCGTACGCAGCTTCTCTTTCTCCTCTGCAGCAGCCTCAGCAGCAGTTCCAGCAGCAGCCCCAGCAGCAGCAGCAGCAGCAGCCGACGCGCGCTGTGAGACGCTGGTAGGCCGCGACGTGTCCCGCTGCCTCAACTAGTGTCTGCAAATGGCTCACTTCATGGGCAAGGCCTCGAGCTGCGTCTTTCTTATAAATTCGTTTTCATGCTTGAGGGCCTCACTGCAGCTGCAGCTGCAGAGTTTGGCGTTCATGTGGGACGCCAGCCTGCAGGAGCAGCAGCAGCAGCTGCTGCAGGAGCAGCAGCAGCTGCAGGTCTTGGTGCTGCAGGAGGCTGTGTCAATGCCTGTGCATCGGCAGCAGCGCCAACTGCTGACGCAGCTAATAGAAGAGAAGAGCAGACAGAAGAGTTAGGTAACCTGTTAGGTTTGGGGCTCTACGGCAGCAGCAGCTTGAGTCGCTGCATGCAGGAGGCACCTCCTGCAGCCGCTGCAGCCACTTCTGCTGCTGCCGCTGCTGCTGCTGCCGGCCCCACCCTCAGGACTGGCGATGCATGCAAGCAGTTCATTGCTGCAGTTCTAGGCTCCCCAAAAGCCCTCGACATGCCCCTCCTTGCTGCTATAAACGAGGGGGCGGCCCGCCGCCGCACCCGGGCCATTGCCTTGGGGCTGCTGCTGGCGAAGTACACAGAGCTCTACAGCAAAGCTGCTGCAGAATGCACACAGCCCCCTCCACACTCGCCTCAGGAGCTCAAACTCATATTCGACCTATAAGCACCCCAGGGGTCCCTAAAGACAAACAGCGGGTTCCTGGGGGACCCTGCTTGGGGGGCTCCAAAGCCCGAAGCCACGCACCTGGTTGGGAGGTGACTCGGGTGGGCCCCCTTAGGACTCTAGTTCATCCGGGGGCCGCGTTGGGAATATAAAAACCCTAGATCCCAGTCTCGCTTTAATGGCTGCAAAAGTGGCCGCGCAAAGAAACTCTTAAAACCTTTTCCCGGCTGGCCAAAGACCTAATTTAGTCCTTGTGCCTTTTTGTGGATGGCGGCGGGCTGAAAAGTGACTGCGGTGTCTTCTCTGTTTCCTGTGTCTGTACACCTCACGTCCCACTGGCCCTGTGCGTCTTTGGCCTTTCTGCCTGTGCTGAGGCTTCTGGATCTTCTCGGCGAGCACAAAAGAATCCTTTTGTGTCACTGAGTCAAGCCCATGAGGCTGAAGAGCACACAGACGCAGGCTCTGTCTGCGTCTGAGTGCTCCCCGGTTTCGGGCACCAGGTAAAAAAAACAGTGAGGAAGAATGTAGGATTTGGCCGAGTCCGAGGGTTGAGGGTTTTGCGTTTAGAGCTTTATTGTAGGGTATAGCGCGTTGTAGAATTCGGTGTTCAAGTCCTAGTCACAAAGTTTAGGGTTTAGTGCTGTGCTAGTGTTTTAGGCGACTGCCCGCCTTCCTTGCCGGCCCAGCGACAGCTGCGCCGCGACTCACTTGGGCCCTCAAGACGGGCTTTGCTGCTGATGCAAGTCTCTGCTGCTGCTTCCCGCCGCTGTTTTGGGCCCCTTCTCTGGCTTGGGAAGCAGCAGCAGCAGCAGCGCCCCCAACAATGGTTCCATGAGTGTCACAGCCTTCACGGCCTGGGTCTGAACGAAGCTGAGGGTGGTGGGGTCGGTGGTTCTGAGATCGTGCGGGAAATGAGTAGGCCACCGACGGCCTGAAGAACTCCAAAGCGCCTCACCTCTTCGCAGCGGAGTCCCAGCAGCAGCAGCAATGGCAGCAGCAGCAGCAGCAGAAGCATTTGCTGTAGTCACAGCACAGCAGCAGCAACTGCAGCAGCAACGACTGGCGGAAGACACAGCAAAGCTGTGATATGTGAGTATGCAGCAGCAGGGCCCTGCGGCCCCTTGCGACTGCGTTGGATGTCATTGAAACCATCAGCTACTGCTGCAGATGCAGCAGCAGCTGCAGCAGCTGAAAGCTAACTTGCTGCTTCCGCAGTGCTCGCCGCACTACCCAGGGGTAGGCCACTGAGCCGCTTTTGGGTATCAGCTGGCAGTCCTGAGGTGACATTCATCTGCATTGTATATGTAACGATTAATTAATACTGATTTACCTTTATGCAACTGCATGCAAAAGTTTATGTTATTCCCGCTATCCATATTATGAGTGTATATTATTCTAAGATGAATTCGCATGCGTCTTTCTCAATATCTGTATCGGTCACATGCGCCTATCTCAATATCTGTGCAGATATTTTCTGTCCCTTTCACTCTAACTTCGCGCTGACAAGCGGCAGCAGCAATAAGTGAAAGTAATAAGAAGGCTAGCAACAAGCCGGAACAGCAAGCGGCAGGACCAGATAGCACCACCAAGCAGCAGCAGCGTGCAGGAGCAGCAAGAAGAAGTGCCGAGCAGCAGGATCTTGAAGCAAGCAGTAGCACCAAGCAGTTGTACCAAGCAAAATCACCAAGCAGCAGCACGAAGCAACAGCATCAGGCCGCAAGGCAAAGCAGCACCAGCAAGAAGCAGCCACGAGCAGCAACAATAAACAGTAGCACCGAGCAGAACCACGCCGCAGCAACAAAAAGTAGCAGCAAAAAGCAGCAACAGCACGCAGCAGCAAAGAGCAGCAGCAACAAGGAACAGCAGCAAGCAGCAGCAGGCAGCAAGGAGCACCAGAAGCGAGCAACCACTGTACAACAGTTCGTTTGTCTACTTCCTTAGTTCAAGAAGCAATTCTTATTCTGCTGGATGCCACTTTCTGCTTTCGCCTCAACACCTGGAGCAGCTGCAGGATTCGCTGGAAGCTTCCATACGGCGAGGATCACTTTGCTGCAGCAGGTATCAGAAAGCAAGCTTCATTCTGGCTCCTTGTGTCTGTTGCGTTTAGCCTTTTTCTGTGCTGGCCGCGAAGCGTGGCTCACTTACTCTTCTAAAGATGTAGCTCTCGACCAGAGGGCACGTTGTGCTGTTGCTACTATAGTTGCTGTCAAAGTCTGCGTTTATAGCTTTCCGCCAGAGGGCATGTTCTGCTGTTACTGCTGTAGTTGCTGCCAAAGTCTGTGTTTAGCCTTTTTCTGTGCTAGCCGCGAAGCGCGGCTCACTTACTCTTCTAAAGATGTAAATCTCGGCAAGAGGGCATGTTCTGCTGTTGATACTGTAATTGCTGCTGGTTGTGCTGCTGAAACTGCTTCTTCTGCAAAAGCTGCTACTGATACCGCTGCTGCTGCAGCAGTTGCTACAGATGCTGCAAAGTGCTGCAGTTGTTAAAACTGGTGCTGTCGCTGTCAATGTTTCAGCGGAAGCTGCCATTCCAGTTGTTGTCCTTTGCTAGCTGCGCTCTCAGTCTGTGAGGCTTGGAATGCGTTGCACCTGTTGGGAAGCCTCAAAAATGCGATTAGACTCTGGTGACCCAGTGCCAGTTTGTAGGATCGCATGATGATGTCCAAAGCAGCAGGAGGCAACCAAAGTCGAAGTCCATTAGAATAGGGAATATCACATTTTACGAAAGTTAAATGAAAAATGGACTGCTAAGAGCCGAATAGCGCGGCGTACATATCATATGAATAGTATTCGCAAAATTCCCAAGAACCGCCGCCTACTCCCTGCAGAATCGACATCATTGCAGTCATAGTTTAACTACGAGCCTTCATAAAATGGCGTATGCTGTCGCAACCGAATTGATGTTCTCCACAGCCTGGTTAATAATTTCCTCCATGTGAGAGAAAATGTCCAATCGCGAAAATTCATATAAGCTCCAAAGCACTCCTGCTTGTATAGTTAGGCTCATAACCAGCATTGTTTTTCTTACTGGCTGGATTGAACACGCTGTTCGGAAAAGGCTTGAAATCGTCCGACAAACGCAGTTTGTACCTCTTACAAACATAAACACATACACTAATCTTGTCCGAAGCGCATTGTGGCCCGCAGTGTACATCTAGAACAGTGATCACCATCGAACTACAATAGCTGCGCTTGCTACAATGGAAGGCCACCACAGCTGCAGAAATCTTTCAAGATAGACGGCATTTTTGTCGAATGAGTTCAACGTAACGGCGCTAGCGAACTCCGAACAGTAGCTGTGTTTTCTCTGAACACTGTCGTGGGCCACAGAGTCGACGGAAGCGTGCCTTCAAGCCTGCCGCTCCAACTGCACAGCAGGCATGACACAGTTGCTCGCTCGACGAAAACTGATCTTTGTGCATCTGTATGGAGTCAGTGTGCCTTGTAATCATGAAGGCGGCGCTATACATACAGCCTGAAGAGCCATAACGCAACGTATTTGATTTGTGTGTGTTCTATCAAATTTTGAGCTGTCCGCGAAGAAGCGAAGTTACATACGCCGAAGCTCGAAAGGCTGAAAAATTGCACTGCAACACCCTGCAACAGGATATCAATTATCAGGGAAGGATAGCTACACGGCAGTTTGGCGGCACGTAAAGCCTGAGAAAAAGAAGCGTCGCCCGAGGAATGCAGCTCTCAAACGAATATATCGTGGAAGAACCTTACATCCAAACACCCCGGATCAGGTGAACGCAAGCGAGAAGCAGCCGAGAGGGATGTTTGTAGAAGCAGAGCATCCCTTAACTGCTCGTGCTCAACATCAGCTAATGTGCATGCAGGGATCGTGATTGCAAACAACGCCTTCCGCGCAAAATTGGCAAGTCGCCATATTGTTGGCTAGGTATTATATTTTTCAAACTCGCAAGAGCATTAGAAAGCGTAACCTACTTCCTGCAGAGCCAATAAGGTTCTAGTGGGCAATTGGGCTTTTCACGGATGGAGGAACCGAGCCACAGTTATATCCAAAGAGCGCCAACCAAGACAAATACTATAACGCACTGTTCCCTACAGGCTAGCTAGGAGATTCTTGCACACTGAGGCAATGATCGATTCACACCCAAGCCCTACAGGTCCCAAAATACGAATTTGTAAACGCGTACGTTCATGCCTAACACTGTATTCCTTACGCGCTGCGTTTCACGCGTCTACATATTTTGTCGTAAAGTCAACGCGTCTGCAAAATACACTCTGTGCCTCGACCGAATGTCCCCGCATCCAGCAACATCAGCCTGAGAAATATCCTGCTAGAGTTGCAGACCAAGTAGAAAGTTCGTCGTCCCACTACATTTGTTACGGGGAAAAGCCGAAATCATGCATGCAAAGTTCCATACATGTCAAATAGCTCTATAAAGGGTGCCCAAGCCAACTTCGACAATCAATATCTCCAAACATACATTTTTGAGGCACGGAGTTGCCGACAGCATGCTTTGGAAGCCTGGCCTTTAACATTCACAACAGGGACTACAGAAACACTAGTTTTGAAAATATCAGCATATGTCTACTTGTGTGGTAGTGGTGTGGTAGTGTTTTGCTCTGTGAGGAAGACGCCAGCGTCTGTTGTCTTGCTGCCCAGCCTTCAGTATTTAGGCTGTTCAAGAGTCTGGCACGGAGCAACCCACCCCTCCTTGTGGTGCTCTGTGCAGCCTAGCATCGGGCAACGGGCACCCCTCCGCCCAGTTCATGAATCCTTTGAATTTGGTGAGCATAAACAGTAGCTGGTTTGTTTTAGTTTACAGGCACTACCCAAACAGTGTGAATGCACCAGGTGTGAGCGTGCTGTCTTGTTAGTGGAGGCGCTGAGGTTGTAATGCTCCATGGCGGCAGGCTCGAAGTCTTCAAGGAGTTGAGAGTCGCGTGTTCTTTCTTTTTTCTTGTTGATAGCGGTAGGCGAGCAGCGACCGGCTGGGTGATCTCTGGCATTTCGCTACTGAATGTACGTC